TATTTGGTGACTAGGCTATATTTTCCCTAGAGATAAAGCAAGTCTTTCTTCAAGACTCATATTAAGTAGGAATGGATTTTTGATGCAGACAGAGCTGTTTTGTGTTTTATGTGCTAATGGTATATAGTATATCCACAAATTCACCTTTGAACTCTGCTTTCCCATACTCTATATCATTATTCTGTATGTTAAAATAATACCTGCCCAATGCATAAACCATGTTCTCTGTTGCTTGGAAATAACAAACGCTGGAGTCAATTTTAACAGATAGAGGTCACCATAGGGCACACATTCTGCATGTTATTAGCAAAAAGCAACATTTTTGAATTTCTGCATGAAACTGCAAGGGTCATTCAGTGCCATTCATAAATGCAGAGCTGCTGTAAGGGATACAAGTCATTTGTATGTTCTTAGCATTTCATATATAATGGGTGTTCTAACTTACGTACTATGTTACTTTTAAAATGTAACCTTCTTTGGCTCGGCTATGATATTAAATACTCAAATGCGTGATATGGTTTATGAAAGGTTGTTTTTTGTTTGGTGGTTTTTTTTGTGTGTTTTTTGTTGTTGATTTAAAAAAAATTGTTTTGGGTTTTTTTGTGGTTTGTTTTTTTTTTTAAATTGTCTGTCTTAGCCAATTTAAGCATTTGTAAACCCTGACTGTAGTATGCTTTCTGTTTTTCTCATGAGCTACAATTTAGATCATCAATTTGTGCTAGGTCTGTGACAGAGAGCTTGACTATGAAGACTTTTCTGGGAATCAGGGGGTTTTCCTGGTTTCCAAGTGAAGTATATTTCAGCTCTTCAATGGTGGAATAACTGTATCGGTTTACTTTTTCATTCCAAGGTTGGAAACTGCCAGGCTGGTTTTGCATCTTTAAATTAGGTAGTTTCCTGACAAAAGCTTTCAGTCATGTGGAAATCTGACCCTCCTGGAGGTCAATGAGATTTTTAACATTAATTACAGTAACACACGGCTGAAATCTTGACCTTGTCCATTGTGTTGGAATTTTATCTGCTTTTAAGTGTATTCATGAATAACATTTTGTGCCAGACAGGTTTCTAGTTTTCTGCAGTTGTCAGTACTGCAGCTATTTACGTAGTAATGGCAGTGTCTCTAATGCTTATCGTATTGCACTTTTTATTCATTAATGCATAACGTTTCTATACTGTTTCTGTCTTGAGTAATCCATAATAACTCTTAAAACATTCCAGGTTTCTGTAACATACCTTTTTTTCCCCTCTTTTTTGGTCTGCATTATTATATTACAGCAAATAGTCAGAATTCCTAATGTGTATATTTGTGGTGAATACATGTGCCAATGAAGAATGAAATTTCAGGATAGACAAAGTATTCTAGATCTTGTCTGTCTGAACTTCAGTAAAGCAGTTGGTATACTGCCTCAGAGAAATTGATCTGCTATGAGAGGAGGCTAAAAGAACTTGGCTCACGTAGCCTAGCAAAATGAAGGTTAAAAGGGGCATGATTGCTCTCTATAACTACATTCCGAAAATAAATGCAGACAGTGAAAAAAACTATTTGGGCTGCTGCCTCTAGATGGGCTTAAGTTAGCCATGAACTAATCTAGTCTGGAAAATAGAAGATTTGAAATCTCAGAGAATAAGGTTCTGAAATAAACAAATTAGTTTTAAGATAGGCTTGCCAAACACCTGGAAGATTGTATGACCTGGTTACTGTGTTAAGGATGGATGGGACTTGATCCATCCACACCTCTATACTTTGTATAGGTTAGCAGATGAAAGGCTCTCCAATTAAATGTATACCATCTCACTGTTAATCTGCTAAACTGTTTATAAGCTACTATTATCAAATATGTAATTATACTGTGAAAAGAAAGTTGAGTATTCTCTTTGGAGTTTTTTGACTCTCTAACTCAATTTATTAACTTTTCTGTACCCCGTTTTTATCTTCAGTGCTATATGGTAATATAAAGAAAAGAAGAATATTTATACATGGAAAAATAGTTGTTCCAGGGTAGAATGTGTTAGTTTGATTCAATAATTCCATTTAATCTTTTGTTCCTGAAAAGAACTGATTTTTTAAAAATGTTTCAAAACACGTAAGAGGGACAGGTTCTTTTGATGATATTTTTATATAGTGACTTAAATGCGTGAGTTGCACATTCACTGCTTTTGTATCTTTGATCAATACAGGCTGTCTATGCATGTCATGTATGGCTGATGTTGAAATGAATATATTCTCTGTGACTCAGATACTCCTATTGTTGGAGAGTGAATTTACTTTCAGTTGTTGTACTTCACAGAATCTGAGTCAAATCTAATGTGTGCTTAGATAATTAGCACCAGAAATATTTTCCCTTGTTAATACATGTATCTTTGATCAGTAACTTGAAGCTAGTGCACAATATCATTACTAAAATGGGTGAATTAATGAAATCACAATGTTATTCTGAATTATTGCAGTGTATGCGAATTCTAGCCATGTATCCTTGTTATTCCAGATGCTGATTTATGTGGGTCTGGTGATAGCCTGTATACATTGTGTTAGGCAGTGTGTATTCATAGCAAAGATAACACCAAGCACAAAGAACTCCTAAGTAGACTTAAGACAGCAATTGGATAAAAGTAGGTAAAATTACAGTAGAAGAATAAGATTTGTTTGTTACCATAGCAGAGAGCAGCTGTAGCATGTCAACAGTGTAGTTATCACAGTTTCTGTAGGCATTATGGCAAAGAAGTTTTAAGAATGGATCTGAAGCAAGGTAATGAACTTAAGACTAATCCAAAAGCCTATTTAAATGAGTAGGATTATTTCTAGTGATGTCAAGAGGCATTCGATCAGATCTTCCAACATGGCATCTACTGAGGGAATTTTGTAATCAAAATGCTGTAGGATTTTACAAAACTAAGCATATTGATTTATACACAAGTATTCTAAGCATGCTATGTTTTAACATGATTAATTCTGCATTGCCTTTTGAAAAATTCTGCTACATGATGCGGCACAATATTTTTCTGATGTTCTTATGGTGTGGATAATTGTAATTATCAGTGAAATAGAAGGAAGAAGTTATTTTATGATTAATAATTTCACCTGTTTGCTATCTTTAAAAAAACACCAGGATTTGCACAGAAAAGTGCATGAGAGTATTTCTTCATTATCTTCTAATGTTTTAAGTATATTGTTGTGGTGTTTTAAGTATACTGTATCTGCACACTCAAAATTCGATCAACTAAATCATCTGTTACAAGGTTTCATAACAGAAATAATTTTTTGTACATTTGACTTAAACTATGTTTTTAAGATGACTGCATGCTTGCAGTTTGTTTATCACATATACAGTGATACATTTATGTTGCGATAAGGGAGTTATCTTGCACGAGGGCAAAGTTAGCAGCTTTGAGATGATATTTGTATGCAGCATTGCTTCTACTTCTTGTACAACAGATGCAAAATTTGTTGATGCTGAATCAGTATTTGAAAGTACAACAGCCTTCAGTTGTGTTTACCTGAGTGAAATAATGGCTTACTAATACTTATGTGCTCATTTTAAGTATGCCAATTAACTTGAAGAAATAGTAAAAGTTACGGTGTCATTTGGGTTGAGTAACATAAAAGCTGTATTATTTTGCTTAATATTTCATTACCGGTTTGGATTGGTGTTCTTAAATTACAGATACTAGTAATTATTGAAAGTGATCTCTTTTATGTTTCATGCTACTTAGAGGAGATCATGGTCATTTGTATTTCTTGCCTCCTAAATTATAGTAATGATCTTGCAACAGAAATGTCTTTCGTAGGCCTGCTGATCCTTTGTTGTTAATCCTGACCCTCCACCAAGAAACTGGTTAAATATGGCAGCAACTACTTTGACTTTGCATGTCTTCACTCTTACTTGTATTTATTAATACATATTATTACCAATCTTACTTAACCAAAAAGTTTCTGGTTAAGATTATAAATGGATTATACACTTAACTGTAGCAATTTTTAACGTCCCATGTGCAGTTAAACTACAGAAATGATTACATGAAGTTTTATTTAAACATAGAGGAGAGTAATTAAATATAGAACTATTCTGTTAAAAACAATGCTTTCCTTGGTAGTATAAAGAGTAGAAAAAAAGCTTTTCTAAAAGATTTTAAGTCTACTGTGTTGTTATGGAGTAGGTGCATACTTCACTTGATTGCAAGTATTCTAATAATACAACAGTACACTTGTTTAGTGCAGTACTCTAGCTGTCAGTAATGCTCTAAATGTGTTTTTAAAAATGCCATTATAAGAACATGGGGGTACAGGACACATAATTCTCTGTTCCAGCTGAAATCCAGCCCCATATTTGATATATGCTTGTGGAGATACTTGAAGTGTAGTTATAAACAATGATTTAGTTCTTTGTACAATCTTTGGGGAAAATTTTGTGGAATGCTTGCTGTTTAAAAAGAAAACCAAAAACAACAAAGCAACAACAACAACAAATCACAGATCAGAACATGAATTTGATCTAGGCTTTGCTATATATGTCCAAAAATATTGCCAAACCATGAAAATTAAAAAAGAAAATAAAAATAAAAAAGTCTTAGCAGCAGCCTAGAAAGATTGTTATTCTTTACGCTCTTGAACAACTTCACGTCAGCAGTATGCTTTTTTGGTAATAGCTGTCTAAAGCTTAGGAGATTATCCATATTGGTTTCTTGAATATTAGATCATCATAAGTTTTGCCTTGAACTTCAAAGACAGCCTTAATATGTGAACCTTGTGTAGAGCCAGGGGTGCACATGTAGAGGAAGGAGCCTCCATAGACATGAAATCAACTTTACCCCAAGAAGAAGGGGAGGACAAAGATGTTATTTTTAGGAGCTCTTTATTAAGCTGTATGTGGTATAGTACTAAGGCATTGCCTTAGTTATATTGAAGACATAGCGTCTCTTTGATTGCTTTTGTGGCCTTCAGGTTTTATAAGTTGTCATTAAAAATATATGGTGACTCATGTTTTGTTTGTTTGTTTGCTCAGGTTTACCAAAAATGCAAGTAATTCGAAACTACAATGGAATACCACAGCCAGCAACCCAAGATGGTCCACCATTGCATATTCAGATTGGTGACACTATTGAACTAATTAGAGGAGATGCACATAGCTTATTTTGGCAGGTATTGTATCATTTAGCAAATGGCTATATTCCATTAGTCCCAGATATTAAATTCTTACTGATATATTGCTCTTGTAACTTTTTTCCTTTTTGAATAACAGAAGAGTATCTTCTGGTTTATCCAAAATAAATGTGTAATATAGCTGCTTTTACTTTTAAAATGCCAGTAGTTCCTATGTTGTGTAAAGCTTCACTCTTGCAGCCTTAGAGTAAAGTTCATGGTGAATGCGTCTGCAAGAACATGGTATTGGTAGCAATCCATCTAGTGAACTTATAAAAATTAAGGAGAACGTCTGGCACATAAGCAGCAAAGTCCTGTGAATTTTCAGTCACTGCTTCTCTTAACATAGCAGAACTAAAAGCTATATTGGCAAAACCCGTTTACAAATATTAGGTTTATAGTGGAGAAAAATAGCTCTGCAAAACAAAACAATACCTAAACATCTTGACGACCTCTCAGTTCATTTAAGCACAGTTTTCTATGTACATGGAAAAAGTATATTCTATTGATGGTAAAATGCAGAACTGAGTGATTCACATTACTACCACTGTTCCTGAAATTTCTTTTTAGCTGACAACTGTAAACAGATTCAAAATGCTGGTTTGCACTCACTTTAAAGATAAATGCACTAACGCATATCTCATTTTTCTTGATTGTTTTCTTAATTGTTCGTACTAGAGTCCTGTGTACTACTGATGTTATTGAATAAATGGAAACAGAGCTAAATAGAAGAACTTTGAGGATATTAATAGAACAACAACTGGGAAGCATTTGTTGTAGTTTTGATTTGTTGTTCCTGTGTTTGTCTTCATGATTTTTTTTCTTTGAGGCTACAATAATTTAATGAATATAATATTTTTCATAACAATAGACTTGCTTTATCTATTAAAAAATATGTAAATAACACCCCCAACCCCCCCCAAAACAACCGCAAACATTCCAAACCCAAGAAACAAACAAAATAACAGCCTCTCCCCTACAAGGTCTTGGGTTCTGATCCAGAGAAGTGTTTAAACACACTCTTGATTTGGGACTGGCTAGAAGGTAATCATCTGACTAATACATGTAGTACAAGCCAGAATTGTGGGCATCTTGTGGGATTCTATTGCCATGTTCGTATACATCTGTCAACTCAATTTGCTGGAATTTGTCTTAGATGTTATTTGTACCTGTCATGCTAAAGGATTTAGCTAGAATCTCACTGTGTCTAACTAGCAGAAACCAGAATGCGCATGAGGCTTTTTCCCCAGAAGCCTTCATAATAGATTTGAATCTTAATGGAAATTGTCATCCCCATTAACATCAATAAGGAATTTTTTTCACAAGCTGTCTTGTCACACACTGCTTAGTACAGATTTCCATAAACCTTGTAATGACATCTGCATTTAAAAATGTGTATAAAGAAAAAAACCTGCAAACCAATTTGTTTTAAAATCTGTAACTTTTATTCAAGAGGCATTTTAAAGTAATTTACAGCTGACCTGCAAGACTAATACTAGAATGGATTTTTAAGTTGACTGTCACATAGTTTAGAAATTCAAGTGCTTGTAATAGATAAGTACATGTGGTTTCAGTATAATCTTTTCCTTCTTTACAGTACATCAAATAAACACCACAAATGACTAAGCAAGGCTTAAGTTATAGCTTAAGTGTGATCATTGTATTTTCAGAGACTTTAATATATTTCATGAAGTGGCTGGTCTTAATGACTGTGAGAGCACTTGTTATTCAGATAAAATGAGTATTGTAAATAAGCATCACTTTGATGGGAGACTGTGCTAGAGCTCTGCTTATAAGCCAAGTCTGTACTTCAGAGGGATTGATGTTTTGGGAGTAAAGAGAATATATGGATGCAAAGGGTAACCTGTATGCAGGCAGAGAGTGGGAAAGAGGGCAAGGAATTTTTGCTTAACACAGGTTCAGATCTACAGCACTGTCACTGGTTTGACCTTTTTTTTTTTTTTTTTTTAGTATCATTTCTATTCAGCATACGATAGCTTAAATACAGTGTAACTGCTTTTCTGTCTCCTCTGCACTTCTCTGTGAGTCTGGTAAAGATGGCAGTTACTGAGGTTACTAGCTGTGTGTGATAAATTGCATAATGATCTCCTTAGGAAAATGACGCACTCATTTATTGTGCTTAGGGCATCAAAAAGATTGTTTTCTTTTTTTCCATAAATCCTCAACAGCTCCACCTTGTTTGAATCACCGAATTCTGTTTTGTGGGGTGGCACTAGAGTACAATTACACACTTAGTGTTACAGGAAAAAAATGAACTAAAACCCCAAAGAAATTCTATGTCTGTTCCTGAAGCATTTTTCCCCTTTTAATTTTTTATGTTGCAGGTAAGTCATATAAAAAAAAAGAGTAGTTTTCAAGGTTACAATGCTTGTAAAGCACTCATTCTTACACTAATCACCAAATGCTTGTAGAATATTATGTTTACAGTCAGAAAATTAAATGAATTAAGGTTGGGCATTTGTGTGCTTTCAAAAATCTATGTTATTTTTTTTTTTGCCAAAATACACATTTTGATGCTTCATTTTATGTATTTGTGTTCAGAAATTTTAGCTGTGTGCTCTGTTCTACTCTGCTTTGAAAAATGTGGTCAGCCAAAGATGTTTCTATTTTGCTGTTCTGTCTGTCTGAGGAGGTGCTCTTCAGGGGACTGTGGTGGTGAATTGTGGGCTGCTGATATTGTTTGCCCTTAGAATCCCTGAGTAAATTCGTGGTCCCACAACTTTGAGACAGCAGTTGTGTTGCATAAAAGGCTTGGTTTAGGCCATGTTGGATGCATTTCTGCAGCTGGTCTTCTGGTTATGGGCTCATCTAACAACATATTCAGTTTTGCTCCCTGCTATGTGAAAGATGTAGACAGCTGGGCAGGGTCCGGAGAAGGGCTGTAAAGATGATAGAAGCACTGGGAAGCCTGACATTTGAGGAAAGGCTGAGAGAATGTGGTTTGTTCAGCCTAGACAAGAGAAGGCTCGGGGCAGATGTCGCCACCATATGTCAGTATTTAAAGGGTGGTTACAAAGAAGATGGAGATTTCCTTTTTACAAAGATTTACTTGAAAAAGACAAGTGGTGGTGGTTACAAGTTACTCCTGGGGAGAGTCCAACTCGACACAGAAAATTTTTCACAAGAACAGTCAGCCACTGAAATAATCTCCACAGGAAAGTGGTGGATTCTCCAAGGCTGGACATGTTTAAGATTTGGCTGGGCAGGGTGCTAGGACATCTAGTCTAGGTCATGCTTTGCTAAGAAAGGTTGGACCAGATGACTCTTGACATCCCTTTCAACCTGGTATTCTATGGTTCTATGTTGTGAATATCTCATAGAGAGCTAATCTTTAATTCTGTTAGTATTCTTGTGCTTATGTGATTTCTAGTGATTCTTGTCACTTACAGAAATCCTTAACTATAGAACTTTGTGTCTGAACTGGTTGATGGATTACTAACATAAATTCCCGTTGAAGTTAGCATGCTTTCTCAGGTGTTGTAACTGCTGTTGCATGGTAGTGTAGTCATTTTGGGGATCTGTAATGTTGCAGTGTGGCAGTTCTCACTGGAGTGATGCCATCTGAGGAGGAAGTAACTTGAAAGGAGATAGTGAACCTTAATGAAGATATTGGACCTGAGCAGACATTGACAGAATTGGAAATTACAAACCAGGCTCTGAGCTCCCTTCTTGAATCTCATCTCTCAAACCTCTCAGGTTTATCAGCTCTAATTATTATTTCATTGCATATCTAGTAAAAAAACCCCAAACAACCAACAAAAAACCCCCAACAACAAAACCCACACAACTGTTGAGTAACCCTTTATTGACGCAACATTGCATTTTATAGACTCTGTGATATACTTTTATTCTCCTAAATCCTTGAGTGAGTATTGTTATTTACTGTTAATCCCCATCATGTTTCAATAATGAAAATTGGTGTGTGCGTGTTTTTTTTCTAGGGCAGAAATCTAACAACAGGAGAGCTTGGATTCTTCCCAAGTGATGCAGTAAAGCCTAGCCCATGTGTAAGTGCAGTTGTTTAACTCTGTTTGTCATCTTACAACTGCCTACTTTATACCATTGCTTTATTAATCTTACCTCATGAAAATTGTATGGTTTCCCAGTTCCTTTGTGTTTTCATGGTATGTTCAATATTGCTTAAAATAAAGCATTTCAAAACTTTTGGTTATCAGATTTAAATAGGACATGTCAAGAAAACATGTTTGAGAAGCAGATTTATCTTTTGGGAGTATTAATAAATTGAACTGTCTGAGGAGTTTCCAGAGTATAGAACAAACACATTTTACGTGAAAGTGTCTAGCAGTAAGGTAAGAATGCTGTGATTCTAATCTATTCCCTAGTCACTTTGGGTTAAAGAGAGGGATTACACTTTAAGTAGTGAGTTTAAAAATGCATGAAACCAATCTAAATCTTTGAATTCAGGTGGCTCAATTAATTTTTTTCCTCTTGAGGTTCTTATCTGTCTTTATTTCACACAATGGTGTTCTCAATCTAGAGAAGTTCAGGGTAACACTAAGAAAAATTATTAAATCATGTATAGTCAGGAATTTCATATACAGATGTGATGATACATTAATATACTGTATGGTTGCTCCTTTATTCTCTCTTCTGTAACACTGTACATCAGATCACTATGTGTTTCTTCATTGAGATTAATTGATGTAAACTCATAAAACCCAGTGATGAATTATATTCCTTACTTTGCTTTAAGGCAGCTTTAACTTCTTTTAACTTGATTCACAAAGTTTGGGTTTATTAATAGAATTGTTTTCATTATAACATCAAGATATGCCACTTAAATGGTTTTTATGTAGGGGTAATCAGCTGTTAGTGGCTGCATTTTGATATGCCTTCAAGGCTTATATTGTGCCTTTGTTTCTAAAACAAATATACATGTCATCCTAAAGACTATAAATACAACGGTGTATCTTGAGACATCTTTAGTCATTTCAGAATTTTTCTGAAGAGGAACACACAGAGTATTTGTACGTATGGGTATGAGAACAGGTCTAGAATAAAGATAAAAATGTTATTTGAACTTAACTTTCTTCCCTCTGCTTATTGAAAAAGTTGTGGATTTCCTGTGCCATGGTGTCACTGTTCTGGACACAGGCAGTAGATCCTGCAGTATGCATTTGTGTTCTTGGAGCCACCCAGTCAGTCATTTTATAGTATCATTGACAGCAACAATAGCAACATTATAGGAACTACCACTACCCTCTAAAGTAGAGGAAACAGGATATCCAAAGCTAGGAAAAATACTACTGGGGTGTTGTGAAGATTGCTTTCGAGTGATAAAGGTTTCTTCTAACTTTAAAATATACTATTTAGATGACTATTGAAAATAATACAGTTTTACAGAATGAATAAATATCGTTCTTGAAATGTTTCCAACTAGGGTGATGAGAACAAAAAGAAAATGATGCTTCAACACTGTTAACATGGAAAGATGAAATATAAACATGTTATTATGATAAATGATGCAGTTAAAGATACTGAAACATCAATCAGGTTTTAAACATACTATAACTCTTACTGTTGTTATTAAGTCTAACAGTCTTTACAACCAGCTGATATAAAAATGCCCAGAAACAGCATAAAATACATACATCAAAAGACTTTAGGAATGAATATTGAATGAAAAACTGCTGAGCACCAGAATATCTATATTCCAGACTTTTCACAGATGTACCTATAAACAATTTTTTCCTCTTTGCAATAAGTGGTGTATGTCAGCAGACATTTTCTGCATCAGCTGAGTAATATCTGGTTCTTCTAGCTTTCCTTCAGTTTTCTCATTTCTATAGAGGCACCAGATACATAGCACAGTATCAGCCAAGAAAATAAAACAATGCTTGAGATATATATATATATAGATATATAGATATATATCTGTCTATTTAAAATTAATCAAAAGGGCCACTCATCTATTTAACTGGTCTGGAAGATTAACTTAAAATATCTTTGAATTTTTATATCCTTTCCAACATAGTAGGGCCACTTGAAAAACTAAGTTTTTCTTTTTTTTCTTTTTAACTATTCTTTCTTCTCCTGCTGCTGATAGAATGCATGTTATTTAATTAGTCCTATGGGCGATAGTACAAATCATTAAAGGTGCAATTCCTATGTAGATGAAATGTATTATTGAAATATCTCACAGCATGTAATGACTCTATAAGGACCTAGCTGGCCTTGAAACATCTCATTTGGTTGCTTCACTAAAACATTCCTCACAGGAATTCTTTCTTAGTATATTCATAATATGTTAACTTTTTCCAAGTCTTGCCATCAGAAGCAGAGGTGCTCAAGTAACGTCAATGGTACCTGTAGGGATTTGAAGAGCCACTGTTACTGCCAGAGGCAGTATCTGACTGTGTTAGGCCCCCTACACTTCAAAGGGGTTTGGATACTACCAATACTGCAAATGCTACTTTTTGAGAGCTCTTGGTCTACACTATTTGGGAGTAATGCATGTTTCCTTTTTTTCTCTCAAGAGCTAGACTAATGTAATAACTTTAACATCTGGATAGATTAACTGATGTGCAAGCTGAACATGTGACCCTGTTTTTATTACAGAGAATTTTAGTGTTCCACACTAGTGTCTGCTGTGTTACTTAGAAAAAATGTGAGCTTTGGGCTGTCCTGTCAAATTCAGAATATTCTCATGAAAGTGTTGGGTTGAGAGGCATTTGAGTAAGTGATTATGTATTTAATTTGAGTCATTATTACATCAATGAAGGAAGCAGAGTTTTGCAAACTCTGCAAATTTTGGTTTGCGGAAGTGAGTCTTAACTGTGCGGGGATGGAAGTTACAACTTAAGTAAATTTAAGTTAGCCAAAACTGTATCCTGTCACAAAAGCCTGAGCAGTTTTGTTTACTTCTATGGAGAAGGAGAAGTTAGAGAGATACTCATTTAATTCCTGAATAAGTTTTTGGAAAGCTTTCTCAATTAAAAAATATTCTGAAAATAACTAAGAATATACTCAGCCAGTGCTCCAAGTGAAGTGTTTGGAGTAAGTGCACCATGTAACTCTAGCATTGAGGCCTCTTAGCATGAAGCTGAGAGCCTTCCAATGGTGAAACTGTAAAAATTCTTACTTGTTTCAATGCGTTAGTAATTTAAAAAAAAACTGTGCTTTTTTTTGAGGAAGTTGCGAGATAGTAAGTTATCAACACAAGTTGATAATATCATGTTCCTCTGGTTTTTTTGGTATTGTTTATTCGGGCTGGTTTCTTTTTGGTGTTTTTGTTTGGTTTTGTAGAGGGTTTTTTGAGCTTTTTTTTTTCTTTTTTTTTTCTTTTGGGGAGTTTGTCACATCACCGGAGTTTATTTCAAGGCCAGGTCTAGAGGCTTGATAGAGATCTTGGTTCATACCTGAGGTCAAGTTAGTGGGAGTTGTAATTGATTTAAATTTTGATTAATTTAAGTTTGTAAGCCAGTGTAATAAAATCTTCCTGAGTTCATCTGTGTTTGGAAATCTCTGTTGAAGATATTCCATATATAATAAATAACGAATGTGAGAAGGATGTCACTGTTGTTGTGTGGGGGTTATTTTTGGTTGGTTTTTGTTTGTTTGAATGTTGTTTGTTTTTACATTGGATTCCAGAAAAGATTAAAATGTTCTTTGGTTTTACTGGAAGAAAACAAAAAGGGAAATGATTTGCTTATTTAAGAATTAGGTCATGACTTTAGGTCATAAGTCATTATTTATGACATTAGGTCATAAATCTGCCAGATGTATGCTAAGCTTCCACTAAAATACATTTTTCAGCACTTTGCAGGTTTCACACGTTGTTTTAGAAGAGTAGGGTAATACTGAATTGTCATGTCAATGTGATATGGTCAAAATGAAATGGTGATTTTCATGGGAATTGCTATACTGTGCATCTTGTGCACATATAAGCATTATCTATGTGTATGTTTATGTATACATACACATTTTGCAAACTGTGTTTTGCTTAATTTTTTTAAATTTAATTTGAGAATCAAATTCCACGTTTATTTCGGTACAAGGGTTAACCAAGTCATGTAAAAAGGTATGAATTATGTCATACAATACAATGTGTGGATTAGCCTTAACTCTCTTGGAAGATCATTTACTGTATTTCCTAGTCGACAGTCTTTCTAAGGCCATACAATCCTGACAACATGAGGTGCATTTATACATGTGAAGGTAAATTTGTTGCACATTTGAATGATACTTTTCAACAGTATGTAGCACCATTTTATATATGGAAATTTAATGTAGACACTGTCAGAGTCATGTCTAACAGTTACAGGAAATAAAAAAACTATCTGTCACAGCAGAAAAGAGTTAAAATAGTCTGTGCTGCTTTCAGAATGTATGGTATATTTATCCTTTATTATAACTTCCTTCAGGAGAAAAGAGGCTTGCAGACTAGTTAGATCATCTGTTTCTTTAACTTGTTTCATCTGGATATGGACAATTAGATCAATTTAATTTAATTGAAGGTCTATCTAATTTGTGTTGATTAGAAAAAAATCTTGATCCTAATTCTCTGTATCTTTTCATGTCCTAGGTTCCTAAACCAGTAGACTACTCTTCACAACTGTGGTGAGTCCCTGTCTAGTCTTAAAAGAATCTCTTTGAAAGAAGAAGTTATGGAAAGACAACTGTATTTATTACAGTTTAATTTATATTGGTTTAACTTTTCTAGGCTTTTGAAACCAACACCATAAATTGCTTAGAAGCATTTCTGATGTAATAAAGTACTTAAAGATTCTGACATTTTGTTTACAAGTCTGTAGATGTGCAGCCTAAGTCCCAGAGGTCTGAAACAGAATGAGTATATTATGAAAGTGTGCAAGTAGATTTTACACCTTAAGTGACTAAAGAGAAGGAATAATGGTAAATACATCTTGTCTTGTGAAGAATTCTGCACTCCCTCTTTTTAAAGGGGATGGGGCATACAAATGTGGAGGTAAATGAGAAGGTTGTAACAAAACTACTGCCACTGTTGCTTTGGGGCTCAGGTAGTGTGTGAACTCTCTACCAGAATTCAGCTCACTTGAACAGACATAGTTGGTGATGCAGGGAGAACAGATTAAGCATCACTTGCTTTCACTGATTTTCATGCTTTGTCATTTAGACATGAGTTATGATTTCCTTTAGTTTGCCAAAAATGAAATCAGAATTGGAACTAAACAATAACAGATTTATTTTTTTTTAATAGCAAGCCAAATAGATTGTTTAATATGTAAAATTTGTAAAATTGATATTTTAAATTAAATATGCTTGATTTATAATTTTTTTAAAAGAAAGCATATCATTTAGATCAGTGTTTATCTTTTAAGAATTTGTAAGACAACTGAGAAATGACTTTAGGATGGAACTTGCTACACTGTAACAAGTCATGTATTTTGAGATAAACTTCAAAATGCGTGTTACCTGATGTGTTTCAAAAAATAACTATTTTTAATCTGAAGCTCCTTTGTAATTGGTAGTCTTAGTGTGTGAACTTTTGCATAGTAATGGTCTGGGATGTTGGCTGCTTTTAAGCTACTTTCTAAAGTGGTAAAATAAGCATAAATTCCCTGGAAACCAGGTCACTTCCATCAATGAACAGTTTAACCTCTAATTTTGCAAATATACATCTGCTGACAATATCTCATGAAGTCCTACACAAACCAGCAAAGCAGAGCAAGGGCACAAATCTGCTTATGCAATCAGGTTGCAGAATTATTGACTGACTTGTCTTAGTGTTCAACTCTTAGCATCAGCTTTCTTAAACTTGGATATGTTACGATTTTAGCTTTTTCTTGTTGCTTGTGGATATTCAGTCTCCCTATTGCACGTAGCCTTTAGAGGTTATGAATAATTATGAAACCAAATAAAACAGTGTGTTTGTATGAATACCAAATTTTTGCATGGGTCTTCTTTTCAACCTAATAAATTGCCAGTGGCAGATACTCCACTCTGTTAAGATAAATTCCACTAGATGTGAGGGATGTTCAAAGGTTCTGGACCACTGTTTATTGTTTCACTTGCAACACATGATTCAGATGAACGTTTAGCATAAGAGCTATTCAAGTCAGTAGTCATTCAGTTAGTGCTCAGGCTCAAGTACTTTCCTTAACAGGCACTGTGTTCAACATGTGCACAAGTACTCTTCTAATTAAGAATTGTACCCCACCACCCCCTGCCACGCAGATATTTTTTACATTGTATTCTTCAGTCAAATATCTGGAAGTGGTATTCACTCGCAACTGATGTGTTTTTAGGTCCCCATCATATGCAGTATACTGGGATCTTGCATTGCCTATTTGAAAGACCTTTCTTTCTAGATTTGAAAAGAATTATAGGTAGTTTTTGTTATTCTCCATTACAGGTTTGCAGGAGCAATGGAAAGATTGCAAGCAGAAAGTGAACTTATTAACAGAGTAAATAGCACTTACTTGGTACGGCACAGGACCAAGGAGTCAGGAGAATATGCAATTAGTATTAAGTAAGTGGAATAAAATCTCCTACAGCAAGTTTTCCTGTTCTCATTTATGTTTAGATAATATTTGAAACAAATAAGGAAAATTAAACGGTGTTTCAATTTATATAATTATACACAGGATTAAGAGTTAATAAAAGAAAACTGAAATTGCTGACAGAAATACCCAGGATTTACAGTAGGAAGGTAGCAATGGTTTTATAATGCTGGTGTAGCAAAATGGTCTACAAAAATGATGATCTAGTATATTTGATAAGAGTAGGCAAGTGTTTGGAGTGTAATGTGATCTGCTTCTCTGAAGTGAATAAGAATATTTCGTTGACTTTGGTGGGAACTTGTGAAAGCCCTTTGCATCTCAGACTTTACAGTAAAATGTGGGTCCACAAATTCTGTGGATGCAAATTGTTGTGAGGATCTTCTTGGCTTTTGTGTGGTTTGTCAACATGAATATAAAATTAAGAAATATGTGGGAATTTCTAAATAGAATGAGCAGTTAGTTGTAACTTTTTTCTGAATGCAGATTACCTTTTAAGCTGTACTTTAATAAATATATTTGGTTAATTAGATGTCAGCTTTGCTTTGGCACAGATATACATTTTGTCTCAAGAATTTATTTGTGTGGTGTTACTGGGGCATGCCCTCAGGTAATTATTGATTGCGTCTGATTAAAACCACATTTATATTCATAAGTTATTCATTGCCCACAGGTACAATAATGAAGTGAAGCACATCAAGATTTTAACAAGAGATGGCTTTTTCCACATTGCAGAAAACAGAAAATTTAAAACTTTAATGGTAAGCATTGATTAGATTTTTAACAAAGTGTGATTTTTCTACGTAGATGTTGCTGTTAGTGTGAGCTACTTTAGTTTGTGAAATTACAAAAGGCTGTGAGAATGAGAGATTTGAATTGTGTCCATACCTGCTAATACGATAACTTTTGGTAGTTATAATTCCAAGCAATGGTAGTATGTGCTTAAAACTACATACTTATGATTGGACTGTGCCCCTTGCAGTGATGTGAAAGTGAGGAGGAATTTGAATCCTATGCATCAGCCCATTATGGATTTAGACTGAAACTTGAAAGGAGAATTTGATGTCTTTGGTAATTTTCTTTGTAAAGTAGGGATCCCTAAAAGCAGCTAGGTGAAGGTTCCTTCCTAGCCTAGCACATGTACATGTGTACTGCTGAACATAATGATCCCTATAGATGTGTAAGTTCAGAGGGAGGATGAGGGTATAAGGTGTATCTGTGTCAGACCAGAAAAACTCAGAGGAGACTAGTCTTCCTGGCCCTGATGCACCAGGCAAAGAGGTGCAGCTAGAGAATGGGGCTGTCTAAACTGCTGATAGCTCAGAAATCCTTGTTGGAATGACAGTAGTCAGGAGTCAATATCAATATGTCTAAATTACAGCAACTGTGTGGCTACTGCAAACTTAATACTCTGTGGCAGCGAACTGCTCACACACAAAATATAGTCTCTTATTAGCTTTCATTCTAACTATAGGAATATTTATTTCCGGAAATCAGTTTGGTGGTGTAACTGCCCAGAGTTTTCAATGTTATGTCAGAGTCATGATGTACTGGTTAGAAATTCCTTCTTATCTTTTTTTTTTTTTTTTGTAAACTTTAATTTGAAATAATTTCTTGATAGCTCATTTTTCTCAGACAAGACTCATAAATACAAGGTGTCTGAATAAATTACCTTAGTGCATTTGTAAAATTTTACTGCTTTAAGCACTTTCTGATGCGTGGTTAAAGAAAGCTCATTCAATATATTATATTTTTGCAATCAATTGGATTAAAACTTTCTCTTTAGCTCATCAGAGTACTCTAAAAATCATACATAAAAATTAAGCACAGTGCCAAATAACATTAGAAAAAGAAGCTTTAAAATCAGAAGCCTTAGAAATTATTTTAATTTAACCAGTGATACTCTGTAAAGCAAGAACATCCTACAAGTTATGGTAAATCGAGCAGAAATCTATACTTTGCCTGACCCTATTGAAATAAGTGCTTGTTAGAGTGGGAAGAACGTAAATTTACTGATAAAGAATGCACCAAACTGTTACCACACTCTAATGTCTTCATTTGACACCTAAAAACCAGCAAGTGTCTAGTGTTAGGGCTGGGGACCTTATCATGTGTAGCAACAAAAATCACAGCATTCCTCAAATGCCTGAAGGAGGTGATTACTTAGTCTGCAAACGCTACTAATGCATACGTTGAACATATGAGTGCTCTCAGGATCTTGACAAAGCATATGAGCTGGAGTTGCATGCTGCCAGATACTGCTTATGGCAGTGATGCAGTTTAATGCAATGATGCAGGTTTCAAAATAGAGCTGAATGATCAGAGATATAAGTACAGGGCACAAACTTGCATAATAAAGAAACAAAGAAACCATATGCATTGCATTAAAGAATTGAAAGGACAAAAGAAATTTCTAGTGTTAAAGTCTCATCACTACTGGTATAGCCTCGCTAACATTCAATTATGAAAAATCATTTCATAACTCAGTTTTTAGGGTATTATGAAATCTGCCCTTGGGAGTTAAGTAGACAAGTGGTAGTGTAAGTACTGTTTGCATGTGCTGTGGAACAAATGCTTTGTTTGGGTAGATGCGAGAGAAAAAAGAAACTGTCTGGAAGAAGAGAGGGGAAAAAATCCAGTCTTAGTAGAACAAGGAGCAGAAAAGAGGCAAAGCCAGCAGCCAGGGAAGCCTGAAGTAGTGATCTGCTGTGACACGGTGTTCTGTTCTACTTTGGAGGTAACAGAAGTAGAACAGCTGTTGTATACAGTTTTCACAGTGAATCTGAAAAACTTTCAGATAGGTAATTAAAATGTGCTGAGTGTGTAAAGCAGGCAAAGGTGTAGTGAAAGGTCAGCTTTGCTGCTGATGTGAATCATAGTAACGTGACACACTCCTGAGGAGCCCCGTCCACGCTGTCAGGGGCTTGTTCATCTGCAAGCTTATTACCTTGCTTATCTGTAAGCTTGCTACTGTAATTTGTGTAATGAATGTTTTAGAGGCCAGTTGTTTGTTGACAGTTTTCATGGAAGAATGGCGTTAAAAACTAGCTTTTAAAAGCAACTTAATCTTTGTGACCCAAAGTAAAAATTTTCTTAGTTTGGAACCATTTTACTTATTTTGCCAACAAATAAAATCTGTCCAGTTGAAATAGTTACTAAATTTACCAAACAGCATAATTTTTACAGACTTGCCCAATGGAAAAATGCAGCAAAAGTTTCATATTAGTATATTTTTCTGTTTATCCAGAAATCTTATTTTGAATGCTGCTTACTTGCAAATCACCCTCTCTGTTGCCTTGGTAATTTGAATGTCTGGGTACTTGGTGATGATATGCGACAGAAAATTTGGCTGCTGACAGTGTAGCTTGCATGCTGTGCTGATATCAGACAACAAAGCCCAAACAGTTCTTAGTCTCCCAGACCTTCTGGTCACTTGGATTGCCTGGCAGGCCTGTGATACGAATTGTTAAAGCAGGTGTAGATTTTACTTAGCTTTGGACACCAGCTTAGAAGCAGGCTGGGAGACACGCAACAGCTCGCAGTGTGGGGAGTGAAGTGCTCCAGGCTTCAGAAGATTATCTTCAGACTGTTCTCTAGAACTTACAGTTTATGTACTAGATCTTGGACTAAACAATTTGGGAATCATTTTATGTGGCTGGAATTAATATATTACTGATGTATGGTCTTGTAGGCTAATAATTTTGTTAATTTTTAACTAGAAGGAAATGATTGAACACAGTACTATTTCTTTATTTTGACCTAAGCTTCGCTTGGTCAGCTTTGATTTTGGAAATCTAAATGTAAGTAAGTAGAATGGAATGACTGAATTACTGGTAAGAGTGAAGGATTCCCAGTAAATACATTGCTTTGTGCTTGCATTTCTGAACAGAGAAATCCCACAGTTGAAATATTATTAATCAAATTAAATAACTTTCTTTGAATTGTCTGGTCACTTTTATTCTACTCTGTGTACAAACTGTGTTGTAGTGACATTATTAGGGCTAATTGAAATGTACGAGACAATAACAGGGGTTGAAGGCTGCAAAGGTAGTAACATGAGCTGTCAGTTTCTTTAAAATGGGTGGTTTTTCAAATAGAAACTAAAGGAACTTACCTTCCTGGTTACGTAAACTGAGACAGTTTTATATTTTTGTATATGCATGTATGCATATATATAAAATTCGTGCCTATATATATATATACACAAAATTTGTCTATATGTGAATATGTATATATATATGCACACATACGGGCAAATTTTTGGACTGGGCTCAAGGAGAGCGTGAAATGTATTTTTCAGTCAGTGTGCAGTATCTAAAAGAACTCCACCTCGAAAACCCCAAAACACCAATAAAAAACCAACAACACCTCCACAACCATCCCCTCCCCTGAATTTTAATGGCAGAGCCTTGAAAGTTTTATATGGTCCATATATCTGCTAATTAAGTTGCTGTTGACTTACATGCAAGCCTTATGCTTTATTTTGGATCTGTGTATACTTACAAATGCATTTGCGGTTAAGCATCACTTATCACTGCAAAAGAAATTTGACAAAACAAAGACGGTTACCATTACGTACTTATTGAGCAGCTGACCTTGCCTTCTGCCTGAATTCAGAAAGGCAAATACATGCTCAGCCTGGCACAAAGGAGCAGTAAGTGTTGACTCTAACAATGAGGTTTTGCTTACTCCCCTTGCTGCAACAAACCCCAAGACTAAAAAACCAGGTAAGGAAGCGTAAAAGCAGTCAATATTTAGGATACTTGATTTGGAAAAAATAAACATGTACTGTGAGGTGTTGTATTATAAAATAAGGTTGCTTCTCTGATAACTGTCATTGACTGTACACCAGAATGTTGAAAGGGTTGTGATTTCAGTTTCCAATGACCTAGTGTGTTTCCTTTCTGAAAGGAACTTGTGGAATACTATAAGCACCACTCTCTCAAAGAAGGCTTTCGAAGTTTGGATACTACTCTTCAGTTTC